AATTTGGATGCCTTTGATTTCCCTTTCTTGCCTTATGGCCCTGGCTAGGACTTCCAGTACAATGTTGAATAGAAGTGGTCAATAGCAGGCATCCTTGTCTGGTTCCTGTTTTCAAGAGGAATGGTTTCAGTCTCTCGCCATTGAGAATATGTTGGCTGTTGGTTTTGCATAAATGCCCTTTATTATGTTGAAGAATGTCCCTTCTATTCCTATTTTGCTGAGAGTTTTGATCAGAAATGGGTGTTGGATTTTATCAAATACCTTTTCTGCATCAATTGATATGATCATGTGGTTCTTCTCCTTTGTTTTATTAACATGGTGGATGACATTGATTGTTTTTCTAATATTGTACTATCCCTACATACCTGATATGAACCCTGATACCCAAAATTCTTAAAGACTTTCAGGGAGATGTACTTTTTTAACAAAAATGTGTGGTTGGTGCTACCTGTGTTCCCAGGAGGGAGAGAAGCTGGTTTGTATTAGGGGAACTCTTGTAGATGAATAACTCCGCATATGCCTCAGAGAGGCTGGCTTAGATGCATCTGGATTCACATGACCAAGTGCAGGAACATTAGCTGAGCTTTAAATAAATCATAAAAATGGAGATTTCCCATGTTCTAGCTCCAAAGAAGAGAAGTAGGAGAGGGAGAATGTAATCAGAATAGAATGCCAATAAAAGTTCAGTCCCTCCTCTGGATTCTGAAAGGTTCATAACCCAAAAAATCAGAGCTTCACACTGGGGGAAATGGGTTAATAAATATGTGAATGGGAAGTCCATACTTTAAGAATTGAAGAGGTATTTTCCAGAAAAGGAAGATGATGAAAGTGGTCAGAAGAGGCAATTTCCTTCCCCTTTTCTAATCTTGGCTCCAGAGCCCCCAGCAGAACCTCTTCAATGTCTCGCATGGTACAGATTTCACTGCTGCTGCTCCAATCAGCTGTGGAGATAAGATGTGGCTTTTAACTACTCTGCTCCTTTGGGGTAAGTTGCGCCAAGAGGGGTAGCTAGAAGGAATTCAAGGGTTTTGTTTTGTTTTTGGTCTTCCTTTGGTATCCTGGGCTAGAATTTAAGAGTATGGAGACAACTGTGTGTGTGTTTCTATAGTTTGTTGGTGTTTATTGTATCAAGAGGGTGGGAAGAATAAGAGCGTTAAGCCTAGAAGCCCCATGTTAATAGTCACCTTTGGGTTCAGTTCCACTGATGCTCTGCTTTGGGAAAAGGGGATAGGGAAAAACTCAAGAGACCTAAGCTTGACCCCTCTGAGTCTGTATTTATTATGTCTCCCTATCTCTCCCTCCCTAATCATCTCCTACTGACCACCTAATGTTTCTGTTCTCTGGTCTCTTGCAGTTCCAGGTGGAGGACAAATGGGTGAGTGATCTTTAATTCAGTTTCACTTCCTCCATCTCATTCCTGCTTCCAAAGGACAGGCAACATTAACCTGAAGAAGGGAGTGTAGGAAGAGGATAGAAAGGAAAAAGAGTCATAATTTATTTTAAAAACTGCTGTTTCAGAGTAGAGTCCTGGGTGGTGCAAATGGTGAATGCTCTCTCTCTGCTCACCAAAAAGGTGGAAGTTGGAGTTCACCCAGAAGAGACTCTGAAGAAAGGCCTGGCAATCTACTTCAAAAAATTTCAGCCATTGAAAATCCTATGGTGCACAGTTCTACTCTGACACACTTGGGGTCTCCATGAGTTGGAATTGACTCTACAGCAACTGGCTTATATTCAGAATGTGATTTTGATAAACCTTGGTTTTCCAGATTTCTTTCCAAGGTTTTCTGAATGGGCCCTGACCTTTGGAAGAAATGTCTAAATGTATATATAATAGCAGGAAGGGCCAGAATTGCAAAAACACAAAGGGACTTTTGCTGGGTTTTGCAACATCCCTCAAAGCCAGTCTCTCTTAGAAGAAAACTGGGTACTTTTTTGCTTCTCAGAGAGAGTCTGGCAGGTACTGAAGGCTCCAAAGTGAGGAGTTTGAACTATCATTTCCAATGCAAATGCTAGTTAAGGCCTATGGTTGACTCTTGGAGACAGTACAGCACCAAGGACAATAATTCAATCGGTATGCCTTACTTTAAAACATTGCTTCATTGCTTGTCAACAATGAGACCTAGTCATTTGATCCTTAGGAACCTTAAATCTCCAACATCCAGATGAGGATTTAATAACATGAACAAAACTCTCTGTGGCAGGGTGTGGATGCTCTTAATGGTTGATTTTGTGGATTCCCACTTGCCTGTTTTCTAATAATCTTATCAGTTTTGTTCCTGGTGCTTTCCATAAAACCTTACCAATTGTTCAGAGCCCTTTCCTTTCGTTCACTTTTTTATTTTATTTTATTTTAACATTCCCAACCAGACCCCAGAAAGGCAGTGATCACCTTATCCCCTCCGTGGCTTAATGTGTTCCAAGATGAAAATGTAACTTTGTGGTGTGAGGGGCTGAGTCTGCCTGGAGACAACTCTACCCAGTGGTTTCACAACGGCTCAGCCATTCAGACCCTGACACCCACATACAGCTTCACTGTTGCCAGCATCAATGACAGTGGCGAATACAAGTGCCAGACAGGTCTCTCAGTGCCAAGTGACCCTGTACAGCTGGAAATCCACAGAGGTAAGTAAGTATGGTATGGAGAAGGAGGGCTGGAAAGCACAAGGTTTTCCTTTCCATTTTCTCCTTCCTGGGTGCTGAATGAGTATGTTGATTGATCTAAGTATGAGTCTAGCCCCTATGTAGATACCAGGTAAAATTAAACATTGCATCAGGTTCTTAAACTGTGCCCCAATAGAACCCTAAGTGGGTAGGGTGTCTAGCGTAAAACTCAGGTGGCTGGCTGGCTGGTGCAGATGGTTAAGTGTTCAACTACTAGCCTAATGGTTGGCACTTCAAACACACCTAGTGGCTCCCCTGAAAAAAGACTCAGCGATCTGCTTCTGGAAGGTCCCAGCTTTGATAACGCTGCACGCAGTTCTACGCTGCACGCAGTTCTACTCTGCACACATGGGTCTCCATGGGACAGATTTAGCTCAACAGCAACAACAACAAAAGGGAAACTCAGGTGCTAAGATTTTATCATTTTGAATTTTTTGTTGTTGAAAAAATTTCTGCCTGACAATGGTTCTACAAGTGTATTTGTATGTTTTATAAGAATTCCCAGGGGTATAGTAGAGCTGACAAGGGACAAGTTTGTAGTCACTTCTTGGTCACAGCCAGCTACCCTGAGGGAGCGAGTAGTTGAACCTGTGCACTCAGGACCAGTCTCAGGGGACATCAAGTTCATATGGCATAACATAGTACACAAAACATTGTTCCACCTCCTACTTTGGTGATCAGTGACTGGGATCTTAAAAGCTTGTGAGCAGCCATCTAGATGCAACAATGGGTCTCTCCTCGTCCAGAGCAAAGAAGAATAAAGAAAATCAAAGATTCATGGAAACAATTAGTCCTTGTGACTGGTACACCATGCAATCCTCAGCCTATATGGCTATGAGACCAGAAGAACTAGATGGTGTCTGGCTATCACTGTCAACCATTCAGAGGGATATCTATGTAGGAGATCCTGGATAGAGAGGGAGAACAATGTGGAACAAAACTCAAAGTCATTTAGAAAAAAAAAGGGGGGGAGGACCAGGTTTGCTGGTCTGAGAGAGCCTGGTGGAACCACTGAAACTAGGGCCCCTAGCTGCCCTTCAGGTCTGGAATTGAACCCACACCTGTGGCTTCCAGCCAAACAAAAGACAGGCATATGGGTTGAACATTTACCTGAGGTAGATACACTCCTTGGAGAGAATAATTATGGGAGAAAGAAGGGCTGTTTATGCACAGGGAGACAGCTCAGGGGGAGGAGTGCATGGAGGGGTGGACACAGGGAAGAGGTAACTATCAGGAGGAAGTGGGAGGGGAGCTGTGGCATTGGGGTAAATTGTAGTCAGTGTCATGAGACAACTTGTGTGAACTGCTGTATGGAAAGTGAATTTTCTCTGTAAACTTTTACCCAAAGCACAATAATAATAATAATAATAAATTCTGCCTGCACATAGTAAATAATAACTCAGAGAAATATACAATAATGATCAATGAAAAGTCTCCTTCTCACCCCAAACCCCCAGTCCCAAAGTCACCTTCCACAGAAAGAACCAAAACTCAAACCAAACTCACTGCCATCGAGTTGATTCCAACTCACAGAAGAAAGAATTGTTAAATGAATTTTGTTTTTTAATCCTGGCTTGTATAATACTTTACATACTGTTCTATACCTTACTTTTATCGTTTAAATATCTTAGAGAGTTGTTCTCTGTTCTCTTAATCTGGATTCTCTAGAAGACCAAAACTAGTGAAGCATATATAAATACACATAAAGAGAAATTTAGTTCAAGGAAGTGGCTCATGTAATTGTGAAAAAAATGGCTCAAGCAATAGTAGAAACAGGCAAGTCCCAAATCTGTGGATCAGGTAACCATCTGAAGACCTCTGCTGACTCATGTGGTTGCAGGGGTTAATGAACCAAAAATCTACAGGTCAGGCAGCAGGCTGGAGGCCTCTGTTGGCTCATGGGGTTGTGGAGAGTTGAGGAATACAAAATCTTCTCCAGCAGCAGGCCAGAGACTTCTGCAGGCTACCTCCCAAGTACCAGAGGTCAGGTGAGTAGAGTGCAAGGTTGAGAAAAAAGGAGGGAACTTTGCCAGGACATCTATTTATATGCTGGAGGCAGGCCACACCCCTGAGGGAACACCCTTTTAACTGATTGGTTGCTCACATCAGATCACAAAATGAAGGATGATTACATAATATCTGCCAAACTACTGAGAAGGATGGCCTAGCCAAGTTAACACATTGTTTGTTGTTGTTATGTGCTGTGGAGTCAGCCCCGACTCATAGTGACCCCTCCTTGGGTTGCCAAGGCAGTATCACTACGGAAGTAGATTGCCCAACCTTCTTTCCAAGGAGTGGCTGGTGGGTTTGAACCTCCAGCCTTCTGGTTAGCAGTCAAGTGCCTAAGGCACTATGCTACCAGAGCTCCTAAGTTAACACATAGCATTAAATATCTCATCTGTTTACATCCATAGAGAGCTACCTCATACTTTTAAAATATGCTGTACATAATCAAGGGAGCTCTGGTGGCTTAATGCCTAAGGCATTTGACTGCTAACCAGAAGGAAGGTTGGGCAATCTACTTCTGTAGTGCTACCGCCTCAGAAACCCAAAGACAGGTCACTCTGAATCAGATGCACCTCAATGGCAGTGAGTTTAGTACCATAATTGAAGGAGCTCTGGTTGTGTAGTGCCTAAGGCCAACCAGAAAATTGGTGGTTCAAAACTACCAGCCATTCCACAGAAGGAAGACTGAGCCATCTACTTCTGTTTTGATTTACCACCTCGGAAACCCAAAGGGGGTCACTATGAGTCAGAATTGACTTAATGGCAGTGGGTTTGGGTTTTTTTTCTTTTTCTTTTTTTTTTGTAGCATAATTGATTTAACCATTCTTCCTATTAGTCTAGGATGTTTTCATTCTTTTGCTTTTATAAGCAATATTGCAATAAATATCTTTCTACATATAGCCTGGGGCACATTTCACAGTCTATCTGTACAATAAAATTCTGGACATGGAATTAGTGTGAGACTTAGTGTTTTAAACTTTGATGAGTAGATGCAGAGGGGAAAAAAATTCACTTAAAATCTGTAAATAGTTTTTATTTGGCAAGAGATGGAGATTTCAATACTTTATAAAAATGTTTCATTGTTCAGGGCAAATTATCCAAATGGATTATTCAGTTATTTGAGAAGCAAAGACCTAACACTTTTTTATAGTTGAATGCAAAAGTTAACCCATAATGGAGGCAGAATTATATTTCTGCCTCTAACTCATTGCCATCGAGTCAGGTCTGACTCATAGAGACCCTGCCTTGGGTTTCCAAGGCAGTATCTCTACAAGAGTGTATTGCCCAGTCTTCCTTCCAAGGAGTGGCTGGTAGGTATGAACCGCCAGCCTTCTGGTTAGCAGTCAAATGTCTTATGCACTACACCACCAGAGCTCTTTATATTTCTGCTTAGTAGGTTGCTTTAAGGAATTCTGGTAGCACAGTGCCTAAGGCATTTGACTGCTAACCAGAAGGTTGGCAGTTCAAACCTACCAGTGCTCCATGGAAGGATGATGGAGCAATCTACTTCTGTAAGAGCTCCTCTGTAAAGATTTGCCACCAGGAAAATCCAGTGGGGGTCACTGTGAGTCAGAATTGACTTGATGGCAGTGGCAGTGGTTTTGGTTTTCAGTGAGAGCTTGCTTTGTGAGGAAATATATGTTAGCTAAAGAAATGTCAATGTCAAAGGGAATGATAGGTGTTCCTCATGTGTTCTTTAGACCCCTGGAAATCAATCCCTTGGATAAAGAGTTTAGAAGGGCTGTTTTAACAAGAGACTTTGTGTTGTTTGAGCAGAAGCAGAGGTATGTCTTGGCCCGAGTGACAAAATATGGGTTAGAGGTGGAAAGAGGCCATTTTTCCTTGCCTCTTCATAGACTTTAAACCCTCAGTATAGGTGACTTATTGAGAATAATGTCTTTTTACACTATATTTTAAGGTGAATTTTTATTGATGTGTAACATACAGACAACAAATCATAATGCACCCTCTAGTGAATTTTCATAAACCGCTCATATTAAGAAATATAACATTACCAAAACCCCAGAAACTGGACAGTTTTTAGTCACCATTCCCAAGATGGACTTCTAACACCATAGGTTTTTGCCAGTTTTTGAACTTCATATCAATAGATACAATATGGTAAAATATGTCCTCTTTTGTCAGGCTTCTTTTTCTCAATATTTTGACTGTGAGATTCAAACCTGTAGTGAAATTGTAGTTCATTTGTCCTCTTTACTGTGTAATACTTTATATTAATACATTCTACTGATGAACTGACAAAGTCAATTGACAAGTCAATTATTGTAATGAAATGTGCAGACCTAGAGTCAGAAAACCAAAAGGGAAGAACACGCTGGGCATTTTGCAAGCTGAAAGAACTAAGAAAAAATTAAGCCTCAAGTTGCAACATTGAAAGATTCTATGGGCAATATACTGAATGATGCAGGAAACATCAAAAGAAGATGGAAGGAATACACAGAGTCACTGTACAAAAAGAATTGGTCAATGTCCATCCGTTTCAGGAGGTGGCATATGATTAAGAATCAATGGTTTTAAAGGAAGAAGGCAAGGCTGCACTGAAGGAATTGGCAAAAAACAAGGCTCCAGGGATTGACAGCATACCCATTGAGATGTTTCAATAAATGGATGTTGCTCTGGAGCTACTCACTCGGCTATGCCAAGAGATTTGGAAGACAGCTACCTGGCAAACTGACTGGAAAAGATCCATATTTGTACCCCTTCCAAGAAAGGTGATCCCACAGAATGTGGAAATTATGGAACAATATCATTAATATCACACACAAGTAAAATGTTACTGAAGATAATTCAAAAATGGTTGTAGCAGCATATTGACAGAGAACTTCCAGAAATGCAAGCTGGATTCAGAAGAGGACATGGAACGAGGGATATCATTGCTGATGTCAGATGGATTTTGGCTGAAAGCAAAGAATACCAGAAAGATGTTAACTTGT